CCTTGGTCGACTCCGCCTCAAATGATTAGCTGATGCGGTGTGTAAACATCGCCACTGGGGACACAAAGGTGGTCGGGCATGGTGCTGGCCACCCACCCCCTCGTGTGCCGTGCCTGCATTTTTAATCGTGTGTATGTGTTCAAAGGCGGGTATTTCTGCGCGTGGGTTTGTGCGTGTGTGTTTACATTTTTGTTTGTGCGTGCACATAGGAATTCTTGTGCGTGTAAGTGTGCACACGAATGGCAGTGTGTGTCGTGTGTGAGTGTGCGCGCGAATAGCAGTGCGTGTGTGAGTGCGCTCGTAAATAGCAGTGTGTGAGTGTGCACGTGATTTGGAGTGTGTGTGTAAATGGGGAGCGATAGTGTAGTGGTTAGCGCGCTGCACTATGAACCTGGCGACCCGGGTTCGATTCCCGCTCACGGCCAACACCAGTGACGATTATCTGAACCGGTTCCGGGCCTCCCCTAGGTCGACTCAGCCTCAAATGAGTACCTGGTGCGGTGTGTAAACATCGCCATTAGGGAGACAAAGGCGGTCGGGCGTGGTGCTGGCCACCCACCCCCTCGTGTACCGTTTCAGCCTTCATAGGTGCTCGCTAACAGCACTTGCCCCTACAGTCTGTTAAGGCTATATGGGGGATCTTTGTCTTTATCTTTGTGTGTAAATGTGCACTCGAATATGAGTTTGTGTGTGTGTGCATGCAAATAGGAGTGTGTGTGTGGGTATGCACCGGAATAGTAGTGTGTGCGCGTGTGTGAGTGTGCACGTGAATAAGAGCGTGTGTGTGTGCACGCCCATATACGTGTGTATGTGTGCACGTGAATAGGAGTGTGTGCATGTGTGTGCGCTAAAAGCAGTGTGTGCGTGTATGAGTGTGCATACGAATAGGAGTGTGTGTGTGCATGCGAATAATAGTGTGTGCATGTGTGAGTGTCCTAGCGAGTAGGAGTCTGTGCGCCTGTGAGTGTGCACGCTAATAGGAGTGTGTGTGTGTGTGCGAGTGTGCGCGCCTCTGTGTGTGTGGGTTTTTTGCCTGTAAGTGGGAAGGCGGAGTTGGCTCTTCCGTAATTGTTTGTATTACCTGCCCTGATCCACCAGGTAACGCCTTCCCTGCCGCAATTATAGGATCTTGTGCCGGCTCCGAAACCAGCAAAGTGGTGGTGTCTGTTTCCAGAGCCGAGGGGACACCCACCGCTCTCTGCCGTACCTGCCCGCAGTCCGGGGTTTGCATTCACCGTAGGTTAGCTTTCATTTAAATGCACAATGACGACAACGACAACAACGACAACAACAACAAGGCGCTTCTGCCGAGGAGCAGGGGGTGGCTCTGGGGCCAGAGCAGCGAGACGGCGCCGCTGAGATCCTGGGTCGGAATCGCCCGCCCGCGCGCCCGTGATTTTATACTTTTTATTATTTTTAAGGCCATGGTGCTGTTGACGAACGTGTTGAGTTTCATGTTATTTGTGCTTGTGCATCGCTGCCGCAGCAGCAGCAGCAACATGATCGTTACATTTTGCGATTCAACCGGGTTGTCCGGTGCAGTGAGCTAATGGTCTCTGTCTCGCCGTTTACTTTGTAAAAAAAAAAAAAAATTCGAATTCCCATCACACTGCGCGTTTGTTTTGTGCAATTAATTTAGCTGAATTCCAGGGCTGTGATTGAATTTGTTCGCGTGGACCATTTCTCCTTGGCGCGATGAAAATGATCACTTGAAGGGATCACGGAAAGGAGCTTTGGCGAAGTCTTCTTCTGCGGGCCGTTCTCTAACACGGCGATGATGCACCGAGATTTGAGGTCGCGCAACGTGTTCTTCATAATCGAGGTTTTTTTTGGTTTGATCGCGTAAATACAAATGCGTCGTTAAATCCACCACCACCCGACGCAGCCAGTTAGTAAGGTTGGCTGTGTCGGGTCGCGGCGGGTTTAACGACACGTTTTATTTTTTTACGTGCTCTAAACCAAAAACCTCTTTCATGGATAATATTAGTCATGAAATTCTACCTGGTGTTAAATTAACGGATTCTTCGTCATGTCACGTGAAATTGAAAAACATTTTTTTTAAAAAATGTCATTCCGCTATTCCGCTTACGTTGTACGTGTGATATCGGAGTGCACGGATGCTTCTTGCCGACAGAGACTCCCGTCTCCTCGTCAGAGAATGTCCCTGGGACATGACCACTATTGACCAACGAAATGCACGTCTCCTGTTACTGAGCTCACCCAACGCTCGAGCTTACGTAACAAATTAAGTGGCACGCTCACCACCGTTGCCGATCGCCCCGACGCGCGTTTATGTAAAGGGGCAGCACTCGGAGATCTGGGATATGGGGGCTTTAATTAATCGAATAGAAAAATAAACTTCTGAGATTTTTTTAGTTTTGCTGTCATTGGTTAACTGGGCTGAGACCGCAGGCCCCCTGGGGCCCATGCCGTCCTCTTAGCGAGGGGCTGTCACGGACGCTGAACGTCCCGTCCCTCCCACATTAAGACAACCCACAACACACTTAACTGCCATTATCATTATTGCCCGGTGTGGTGTGCCGTCCACGGTTAAGCGAAAGTAAATTCGTGAATTTTTTTGTTGTTGTCACGAGTAGGTTGTCCCTGAACAAAGACGATCTTGAAACAAACATTTCCGAGACCCCATCGGGATCCCTTGTAAATAAATAAATAAAGATGACAACTACGGTAAAACCTTGGATTGCGAGCATAATTCGTTCTGTAAACGTGTTTGTAATCCAAAGCACTCGTATATCAAAGCACTCGTTTATCAGTTGTAATCACGTGACTCTCGGCATGACAAAGCGTATACGTACCGCTCTATTGCAAGACCTCGCTCGTTTATCAAATTAGTATTTACTTAATAATTTTGCTCGTCTTGAAAAATGCTCGCAGACCAAGTTACTCGCAATCCAAGATTTTACTGTATTACTTTTTTTTTACCAGGTGGAGCTCACTGAGCCGTGTAGCTCTTTTTCAGAAGCGATCTGGCCACAAATTATAGCTAAAAGACGTGGCTTATGTGGAAATTGTTAGCCAAATACTCTAAAACGCATGTTTCTTAATGCGGAGGGAACAGGGTAGGGATCGAACCCGCGATCTCCTGTATACCAGGCAAGGTAGTTAACATCTCGCCACCGTGGCGCCCGCATATAATGCAACTGCTGTTTGTGGGGCCCCTGCTGGGTGAAGGCCTGCCCACGCCACTTCGCCCGCAGGGGTTGTGGACCACGCTTGCTCAGTGCTGGTTGATGAAGTCGCTGGGAGGACGTCAGATTGGCCACGATGTCCGCTCGCCACCGATTGCAGCCGTGGCTGGGAATCGAACTCCGGTTTTTCTGTGGCACGTTGCAAATTAACTCTGCTTTTCCGGGTTCGCGGTGTGGTTCGCGAACCGCCACGCCAACCACCGAATCGCGTGCTGCGAATTGTAATGATTTATAGAATCGCTTGGTGGGGAGGCGGGGGAAGGGGTGGTTGGGAGGGAGGGGTGAATAGTCACGTGTTCAGAATCTCAGGTACGCACCCATCCACCGTAAAAAGTCGGTTGGCAAAAATAACACAAATTGTTTTCCTAAGAGATGGCAGCGAGCGGCTTGCGAAGACGTGCACCCTCCCTCCTTCAGCTTGTTTATTATCACAGGGGATAAGGAGGAGAGAAGGCTCAGATTAAGCCAAGGAATGTGACTCGCTCTCTCTCCCCGGCACTATTTGCCTCCGAGCTTACATCTTGCCGGACTGGCAAACAAACACCACCCACACCGACGCCGCAACCCCATTGTGGCCGCTGCCAGCCCCATTCTGCGTGAGCTGGCGCTGACCCTAGCTTCGGTGCCGTGTTTTGACGCGGTTCACATTGTTCCGTCTTGACGTCTTGACGAGGGGTGGCTGCGGCGGCTGCGTTGGTGGAGGTGGCGGTGTCAGCCGAAAAAAAAAAAAACTTCTAGTGAATATTTACCGTCCCCGCGATGGGTTTGGCTGCAGGTCACCGTCACTCAGGGCTAAGAGAGCACTCAGCGCGTGCCTCCTCAAGGGCAGCTCAGCCTTAAATTACCGCCTTTGCAAGAGCCACGCGTCGGTCAGCGCGGACGCGGGTGGAGTCCACACTCCGGCGGTTGCCTTCCTTTAGATCAGCTAGAGCCAAAAACGAGCGCTTCGTTACGGAATTTTGCCTATATCATACCTCTTTTTCCTCCGTACAGTTGAGCCGCACCTGGGCCGCGCTGCTGAGCCAGCCCAGCGCGGCTCGCCAGGTCGTGTCTTTTTCCACTGCAGAAACCGAGCCGTGCCGCTGACGTAATGCGGAAAGAACGAGCCCGAGACGCGGCTCCGTGACGCGGCGACGGCCGTGCTTGAGTCGTTCTGACTGACATAGCGTGCAACGAACGCGTCGTGAGCCCCTGCCCCTGTTTTGCCCCCAAGCCAGATTCGGATGTCTTCTTGTGATGCCAACGTAGCCACGGTTTTGGTCCTGGATTGCCACGGCAAATGGCGAGCGGAAAAACCGCCGCACGGCACGGCTCGGATGTTCGGTGGAAAAAGGTGTACGCGTGTTAAGAGGGGATTACCACTAGGGCAACTCAGTCAAAAACGCAACCATTAAAATTGTGTGTGTGTGTGTGTGTTGCATGTGTGCGGAGCGTATAGGGTCTCATTCACAATACATGCAGTGAGTCGCGTGTGTAGGAATTGTTTTTAATTAATTCATGTTTAATATACTACGTAGGAAATTGGTGCGCGTGATCCACGCTGCCACTGGCGGTCGCTACAGTCGCCTCTGTTGAAAACAAAAACAATTGACAACTCATGAAATTGCTGCCAGCCTAATCGGGTACTGGCGGACGAGAGGGATATTTTCGAAACCATTCACACTCGGTCACTTTCGCCACCGCAAGGTCGTGTTCACACTCGGCCAATACGCACGTCGCGTGTTTTGCGTTGTTAACCGGGTGCGGGGTGGGGCCCTCCTCGTCTCTCCGGGTTCTGGCGTGCGTGCGCAGGTTAACGAGATCGCCTTCATCAACACGCTGGAGGCTCAGAACCGCCGGCACGACGCTCTCTGCAAGCTCAAGGAGTACGAAGTTCGGCTCAACGAGCTTCGCGACGAGCGGCACCGCCGGCAGGAGGAGAAGCAGGCGCGCGACGAGGCCGTGCAGGTGGGGGCGCCGCACCACGGGCCTCCCGCGGCCTCCCCGCGGGGCCCTCGCCGGACAAAACCTCGCTCCGATCAAATCTCCCCGCCTCGTCGCATTGCTAGAGCCGGGCTTTTGCCCGCTTCTTGGCGATATAAGCCTCCCCGAACCGTCACCATCTAGCACGACGCTTGTGTGATCCAACGGTTCATCCGGGTCCCCCCCCCCCCCGATTTAATTGCTCCATCTCCGCGGTGGGTCTACCGTCGGGCGTCTTTCCATCCTTGGCTGCCGCTCTGTCGTTAGTCTCGGCCTCTAGCCATATTTTATTCTCTCGACGAGTCGATGGTAACCTCAGGTTCCCCCCCCCCCACCCCACCACGTTCAACCCTGCGCGCGTGTGTCCATTGTCCATGCGCGCGTGTCTCAGCACGTGCGTGTCACATGTCTTGTGGCAAGCTGCTAAAGTGCAGGGAGCTGGCGCGCATTGGAGCACAGGTGGTGCATTTTTTTCGGTCAACCCAGCACCTGGGCGTGTCCAGTGACATTCTGCCGGAGCGAACCTTCGATGTTTCACGTGGCCTTACGGCGCACCTAGCCTGGCGCAGCTGCCTTCTGCTGCGTCGCGGCGGCCCGCCGTTGTTGCGAGAGCGGCGCGTTTCCCCGTCGCTGCAGGAGCGTAAGCGGGCGCTGGAAGCGGATCGGCTGGCGCGCGTGGAGGAGCTGCTGCTCAAGCGGCGGGAGCAGCAAGCGCGCATCGAGCAGCAGCGGCAGGAGAAGGAGCGGGCGCGCGAGGACGCGGCGAGGGAGAGAGCCAGGTGGGTGCGGCGATGCCAGCGCGCTCCGCGGAGGATCGACGGAGGCCCGGGGGATCCGCGCGTCGGCTCTACTCGCCCGGATAGCCACTCGACTAACCCGCTCGCTCGCACGCCCGCCCGTGCGCCCGCTCGTTCGCCCGCGCGTGTTTTCGCTCGTTCGCTCTCTCACACGCTCAATCGCTGAGATGCCCACCCAACTCGGCGGCCGTCGACTCGCTCACCCGGCAGTCGATTTGCTCGCCGAACGGCTCACCGACTGACTTTGCGCAGAAACCCACTATCTCGGCAGGCCACGAAGTAACAGGAGACCGCTGATGTTGTTGACGTGCTGCCGCTCGCGAGCGTCCGGCGGCGATGTCCCCGCGTTGCTCTGCAAGTAACCGCGACGTGCACGCGTACGTCCGCAGGGATCGCGAGGAGAGGCTGGCAGCTCTCAACGCTGCACAGCAGGAGGCCATGGAGGAGCTGCAGAAGAAGATCCAGCTGAAGGTATTTCTCGAATCCCAGTTGTAGCGAAACGGTCACCACATTTTTATATTTTCCCCAATTGGCTCGATTTGGCATGAGACATCATCACCGCCGCGCCCCTGCTGCAGGAGCGAGAGATTTTTTGCCAACTTTTTCACCCCCCCGCCCCCCCCGCCCCCCCCCCCCGTGGCCCTGCGGCCCCCCTCCGCGCCGTCGCCGCCCCCAGCACGACGAGAGCGTGCGGCGCCACATGGAGCAGATGGAGCAGCGCAAGGAGAAGGCGGCGGAGCTGAGCAGTGGGCGGCACGCCGCGGTCGACGTCCCGCCCAAGCTGACGCCCTACGAGCGCAAGAAGCAGTGCACGCTGTGCAGCGTGTGGGTCAGTGTTAGGCGACGCTCGTCCACCCCCGGTCTCGTCGCACGATCCTGCGGCGACCGTGTTTCGGAGAGAGGCCACGACACGGTCGGTGCCAAGCGAGCGATCGACAAATGTGAAATGCTGAACGGAATGACGGGGGGAGGGGGGGGCAGAGCTGTCGGCAACGGGGGCTCAGCCCCCTACAGCCGCTCCGATGCTGCACAGCTTCCACCCTCTACCCCCCTTTCGCTCGCCCCACCAACCTCACCCCCCCCCCCACCCACCCGTCTCTCACCGCACCAACCTCACCCCCCCCCCATTTATCACCAAACCAACCTCACCCCTCCACCGTCTCTCACCGCATCTCCCCCTCCCCCCCCCGCCCCCCCCCCGTTTCTCACCGCACCAGCCTCACCCCCCCACCGTCTCTCACCACACCAACCTCACCCCCCCCATCGTCTCTCACCGCACCAACCTCACCCCCCCCCCCATTTCTCACCATACCGACGTCACCCCCCACCACCAACTCACCCCACCAACGTCACCCGCCACCATCTCTCACCCCACCAATGTCACCCCCCCACCATCTCTCACCCCACCAACCTCACCAGCCCGTCTCTCACCCCGCGAACCTCTCCGCGTGTCCCATCCCGTGTGCGGTGTCCGGTGAGGGCTGTGGCACCGCCCGCCGTGCCGTGGCACGAGCGACCGCTGTGGGTTTTTCATGGAGGTCGGTGAATGAGAGTGTGCGACCCCTGGCTTATGGTGGTTCGGATTGGAGTGTGGGGGGGAGCTGGGGATTGTTGATGAACCTGACCATAGTCCACTCCCTTAGAGGTCTCTTCACTTTCACGGGACTCTCAAAGTGATCACGGCTCACTGCCGCAGAGATCCATTCAAGTGGTTTACATTTGGTCTCGGTGAGCGACCCGCTCGTCAATGCGACCGGAATTCACCCTCATAGAAGTCTGTCCGTTAAGGCGACCGTCAGTTTCATTCATTGACGAGTGATGTTAATGCCTGTGTGTGTGTGTAAACGTGCGTGTGTGTAAACGCGCGTGTGTGTGTGTGTGTAAACGCGCGTGTGTGTGTAAACGTGCGTGCGTGTGTGTGTGTAAACGCGCGTGTGTGTAAACGCGCGTGTGTGTGTGTAAACGCGCGTGTGTGTGTAAACGCGCGTGCGTGTGTGTGTGTGTAAACGCGCGTGTGTGTGTGTGTAAATGCGTACAAGCGCGTGCGCATGCTTTGTTTATGTTTTGTTGATTGCGTTTGCGTGCGCGCACGTGTTAGCCCGTGCACGCGCACGCGTTAACGCGTGCACATATACTCACGTATTTGCGTGTGCACGGTGCGTGTGTCTGTTGTGCCTCCCGCCCCACCACCGCTTAGATTTTGTCGGAGGTGTACCTGTACAGCCACATCCGGGGTAAACGGCACGCTCAGGCCGTGCGCGAGCACAGCAGCATCACGGGCCGCGAGCTCTCCGACGAGGAAGTGGTGAGCATGCTTGTGCGCGCGCGTGGTTCCGTGCCACCCCTCACCGCCCTCACCTCCACTCTCTCTCACAGCCACGTGGGAGGAAGTCTGTGCGATTCACGGTGAACAGTGCAAGATAGCCAGAACCACCGGATTCCCACGGTAGCTTTTGCCGGGCCAAGCCAGCACTGCCCGGGCCGTTCGGCCCGTTTCTCAGCGAGCCGTACGGCTAACTTTTTTTAGTGAGCCAAACAAAAGACGAAGATCCCCCGTATAGCCTTTAACAGACGGTTGGGGCCAGTGCTGTCAGCGAGCATCTGTGAAGGCCGGCACGGCACACGACGTGGCTGGGCGGCCAGCACCACCCCAAGCCGCCTTTGTCTCCCTAGTGTTGATGTTTACGCACCGAGCCACACCCACGCGGAAATTGAGACAGTTCTCATGTGGTTCTCAAGTGTTCTCAGTGTATTACACTGTGAACGGAGTGTTCTCAGTGCATTACACTGTGAACCGAGTGTTCTCAGTGCATTACACTGTGAACCGAGTGTTCTCAGTGTAAATCACTGTGAACCAAGTGTTCACAGTGTATTACACTGTGAACGGAGTGGTCTCAGTGCATTACACTGTGAACCGAGTGTTCTCAGTGTATTACACTGTGAATGGAGTGTTCTCAGTGCATTACACTGTGAACCGAGTGTTCTCAGTGCATTACACTGTGAACCGAGTGTTCTCAGTGCATTACACTGTGAACCGAGTGTTCTCAGTGTATTACACACTGTGAACCGAGTGTTCTCAGTGCATTACACTGTGAACCGAGTGTTCTCAGTGCATTACACTGTGAACCGAGTGTTCACAGTGTATTACACTGTGAACCAAGTGTTCACAGTGTATTACACTGTGAACCGAGTGTTCTCAGTGCATTACACTGTGAACCGAGTGTTCACAGTGTATTACACTGTGAACCGAGTGTTCTCAGTGCATTACACTGTGAACCGAGTGTTCTCAGTGTATTACACTGTGAACCGAGTGTTCACAGTGTATTACACACTGTGAACCGAGTGTTCACAGTGTATTACACACTGTGAACCAACTGTTCTGGATGGGGGGGGGTCCCAGCCGACAAAGCACATGGGTGGTGGGTTGTCACACGGGGAGGCGACTGTCTCTCGCCATGAGAATGTGGAATTTCCACCACTGGCTCAGGGCCACCAACGGAGATGGGCGCTGCTCGAGTTGCATTACAGTTGTTATTGGCGCCAGGAAACTTCAGACGTTCCGTCGGGAACTCGGGCAGCCAAAGAGTTCGCCGACAGCTTCGGAAGATGACTTCACAGAACTACGTCCGAGGTCACTTCAGTAAGATCTCTTTATCCACCCTCGGGGTACACCTTTTTTTATATTCCCTAATATACCTTTAAGCAAGGAGGTGCTCTTGTCTTGAAGATGCTTCACAAAATCTCGGCACCTCTGTGAGCGCCCGGGAGATGCACAGTCGGTGCAGACTGCCAGCGATGATTCTTGGGTGAGAATCTTGAAGCTGACATAAGAGAATGGCGCGACGGGTGGACAGCGCACAAAGACACAGGTGAGAGATGCAAGCTCGGGGACTAGTAATGAGAGCCAAAAGCAAGAGACATCATATTGACGACGAGCGAAAGTCGTAGCGAGTAAGGGAAGAGACGGCCGACGGGACGGAGCGGCAGCCAAAGGAGAGAATGGCATCCCAAGAGGGCGACCCCCGAGGAGGAGGAGGAGGATGCGCAGCGATGAGGCGAGCGCATCTCCTGTGCACGAGTGAGGTGGATGGTGGCAGCACCGCACCGTGAGGATTTTTATTATTTTTATCGCAAACAGTCCCCCCCCCCCGCCCCGGGTTGCGAAAGACTCGACTCACGGAAATCCGACCTCACGGGATTGCTCCCATAAATCGTGTTCAGAAAATGCGATGCGCGGAAACGCTTGCATTAGCGACGTGAGCGCAAGTAGTGCATCGGCGGCGAGGTTGCGGATGAACAGCGTGGAGAGAGGGGTGAGGCGGGGTGGAGAGAGGGGTGAGGCGGGGTGGAGAGAGGGGTGAGGCGGGGTGGAGAGAGGGGTGAGGCAGGGTGGAGGGAGGGGTGAGGCGGGGTGGAGAGAGGGGTGAGGCGAGGTGGAGAGAGGGGTGAGGCGAGGTGGAGAGAGGGGTGAGGCGAGGTGGAGAGAGGGGTGAGGCGAGGTGGAGAGAGGGGTGAGGCAGGGTGGAGAGAGGGGTGAGGCAGGGTGGAGAGAGGGGTGAGGCGGGGTGGAGAGAGGGGTGAGGCGGGGTGGAGAGCGGGGTGAGGCGGGGTGGAGAGAGGGGTGAGGCAGGGTGGAGAGAGGGGTGAGGCAGGGTGGAGAGAGGGGTGAGGCAGGGTGGAGAGAGGGGTGAGGCGGGGTGGACAGAGGGGTGAGGCGGGGTGGAGAGAGGGGTGAGGCGGGGTGGAGAGAGGGGTGAGGCGGGGTGGAGAGAGGGGTGAGGCGGGGTGGAGAGAAGGGTGAGGCAGGGTGGAGGGAGGGGTGAGGCGGGGTGGACAGAGGGGTGAGGCGGGGTGGACAGAGGGGTGAGGCAGGGTGGAGAGAGGGGTGAGGCGGGGTGGACAGAGGGGTGAGGCGGGGTGGACAGAGGGGTGAGGCGGGGTGGACAGAGGGGTGAGGCGGGGTGGAGAGAGGGGTGAGGCGAGGTGGAGAGAGGGGTGAGGCGGGGTGGAGAAAGGGGTGAGGCGGGGTGGAGAGAGGGGTGAGGCGGGGTGGACAGAGGGGTGAGGCGGGGTGGAGGGAGGGGTGAGGCGGGGTGGAGGGAGGGGTGAGGCAGGGCAGCCTCATGCCTCACTCGAGCTTCACGAGGATTGAGACAAATGGAATTTATCTTTGATTTTGGGAGAAAATTTGTGATTGTTCTCTGGTAACCCGGGAACTGTCCGTATTTTATTTTACCAGGTAAGGCCCGCCGACTTGTGTCGCTCTTTGTCAGAAGCGACCTGGCCACCGCAAATGAGAGCTCAACAAAGCGGCCTATCGCGTTGGAAATGTATAGCAGCCAAATTACTCGAAACGCCTGTTGACTCTAAATGGCGCCAGGGCGTGGGCAGGCTCTCGCCCAGCAGTGGATAGACAGTGGTTGCTGCTGCTGCTGCTGATGATGAAGAGCAGCGACGACGCAGCGGGAGAGAAACGGGGAGACGAGAGATTACAGGACGCACAGAAACACGGCAACTCTGTCCCAGCACCCCCCACACACTCCGCAACCCCCCCCCCCCAACTCCCACCCCCCCTATTTGTCTTCCTTCCCTCCCTTCCCACCGTCCCCCACTGCCCCAATGGCCCCCACCCCACCACCACACGGATTGGCCACCGGTGGCAGAATAATGAAGCAGAAAATGCGGCCTCAATGGGGCTTTGTTAGTGCTGTCATGTATGGCTGCAGTGTAATTGACAGACGGGGTGGGCTCCGCGTGGCTCGCGGACAGCACGCACCGTGCCTTCGCCTGCACTTGGACGCCCACGTGTGTGTGTGTGTGTTTGTGTGTGTGTGTGTTTGTGTGTGTTTGTGTGTGTGTGTTTGCGCGTGGGGAGCGGTAGTGTAGCGGTTAGCGCGCTGCGCTATGAACCTGGCGACCCGGGTTCGATTCACGCCCACGGCCAACACCAGTGACGATTATCTGAACCGGTCCCCTGCCTCCCCTAGGTTGACTCAGCCTCAAATGAGTACCTGGTGCGGTGTGTAAACATTGCCACTAGGGAGACAAAGGCGGTCGGGCGTGGTGCTGGCCACCCACCCCCTCCTGTACCGTTCCGGCCTTCATAGGTGCTCGCTAACAGCACTTGCCCCTACAGTCTGTTAAGGCTATACGGGGGATCTTTGTCTTTGTCTGTAGGGAGCGGTAGTATCGCGGTTAGCGCGCTGCGCTACGAACCCGGCGACCCGAGTTCGATTCTCGCTCACGGCCTACACCGGTGACGATTATTTTAACCGGTCCTGGGCCTCCCCTAGGTCGACTCAGCCTCAATTGAGTACCTCCTTTGGTGTGTAAAATATCGCCACTAGGGAGACAAAGGCGGCCGGGTGTAGTGTTGACCACCCACCCCCTCGTGTGCCGTTCCAGCCTTCATAGGTGTTTGCTAACAGCACCTGCCCCTACAGTCTGTTAAGGCTACACGTGGGATCTTTGTAATTTTGTGCTAGTGCGTGAGTGTGAGTGAATGTGAGTGTGTATGCACGTGAGTGAACATGTGTGTATGTGCTTGTACATGTGTGAGTGTGGATTGTGATTGTGTCTGTGTGTGTGTGTGTGCATGCGAGTGCGTCTGCGAGTGAATACGTGTGCCTGTGATGTGTGCGAGGGATGGCTTCTGTGCGTGCGGGTGCGTGAACGTGCAAGCTAGCGCGTGTAATGAGATGACTGTGAGTTGGGCACCGCTCCCCGGTCACCGGCAATGAGATGCGGATAACGCAATTAAATTATCTCTTCCTGTGTGCATATAAACACATATGATAGGATAGCCAAAGATCTGTGGATATAAAAAAAAAGTTTATAAATTAACAATTTGCGACGGCGTCCAGGGCGATGGCACGTGACCGTGTAACCCACCCCACCCCGCGCAGGAGCACCTGTCGCTGCGTAGGTACGTGGTGGAGGCAGCGTTGGACGCCCCCGACCCGGCCTGCCCGTCCGCCGAGAGGGTGCGCGACGAGGAGGAGAGGCTCAAGGCGAAGAAGAGAGCGAAGAAGTTGCGGGCGCGAATGAACAGCCGGTGGGTGAACGGGGGTGGTGGGTGAGTGACTGAGCGTGGGTGGGTGACTGAGTGAACACGGTGGTTGAGTGAGTGAATGAGCATTGGTGATTGAGTGAGTGAGTGTGGGTGAGTTAGTGTGGGTGAGTGAGTGAGTGAGCATTGTGGTGGGTGATTTGGTGAATGAGCATTGGTGATTGATTGAGTGAGTGTGGGTGAGTGAGTGAGTGAGCATATGGTGGTGAGTGATTTGGTGAATGAGCATTGGTGATTGAGTAAGTGAGTGTGGGTGAGTGAGTGAGCATGGTGGTGAGTGATTGGGTGAATGAGTATTGGTGATTGAGTGAGTGTGGGTGAGTGAGTGAGCATGGTGGTGAGTGATTGGGTGAATGAGCATTGGTTGGGTGAGTGAGCAGGGTGGTGAGTTAGTGACTGTGGGTGAGTTGAGTAGTGAGCACGGTGGTGAGTGAGTGAATGAGCATTGGTGATTGAGTGAGCAGGGCGGTGAGTGAGTGAGTGAGCTGGGTAATGATTGACTGAGCAGGGAGTTGGTGAGCGAGCAGGTTGGTGAATTAGCTCACAAAGTGGTGAGTGGGCTGGGTGGTGAGTCGGTGAGCGAGCAGAGTATCTGAGTGAGCTAGTGAGCGGAGTAAGGGAGTCTCTGTTGAGTTGCTGTTGCATTAATGTGCCATATAAATGCAAAGATTATAATTCATATTATTACAATTCTTTCCTGCCAGCCTGCGTTCCGAACTCCCAAGTTGCTTGCGGATATTCAAAGGAACCAGAACCTTCGACCATTTCTATTCTGCTAAGGAATGGAATAGGAACATCGTTTGGAATAGGAACGTTGGTTGGAATAGGAACGTTGGTTGGAATAGGAACGTAGTCCGTTGGAATAGGAACGTCTATTCTTAAACGTAAACACAGGAGAGACAAAGGCGGCCGGACGGGGCAAGGAGCACGGCGCCAGCCGTCACTGTTGTTGTTGTTTTCATGGGTGTTGTGGTGCGTGCGTCGTGTTGATTTGTGCCCCGTGGCCGCTGATTTCTCTTCCATTGCGCGTCGTTTATCTCCCCGCCGTTGTGACGCCACGGACTGCGAGCGCGCTCGCTCTCTCACCTCGTGGGGAGGGCAGGCGGCGGACGCGTCCCCCGCTTAATCACACGGTTCGCGCCGCAAGAGAGACTTTACCGCCCGTCAACGAACAACAAAAACGGCGTGTCAAAGCAGCAGGACGTGAAAAACACTCGACAGACGCAAATTGCACGGACAAAACCAGCACCGCAATTGCTAATTTCTAATTCTGAGAGGCAGCCCCTTTTAAATGTTCCTCGTGGGTGTCGTGCGCGCACCCGAAGGACGCTGCCACAGCGGTGTGAAGGTCGGCGCACTGGACATGCATCGCAGAGGTCAACCGCGGTTCAATTGGGTTCACGTTCCTCCCCAAGCCCCAACCCTCTGTTCTCCCAGCAATGTGATGCGTTCACTGCAGGTTGTCGATCGGCATGTCGTTTGTGGTGGGGTACAGTCTGGCTACTTTGATCCTATATGGAAGAGTAGGCCAACATACCCTGCCTTAGAGGGGCTTTGCAGCGGAGGCCCTTCCAGCAGCAGTGGGGTGGCGAGTCGATGAAACGCAGCAGCGTTCACTGCACCGTCTTATTTTGAGAAATCTTGTGAAGCCATCGGTGGCCAGGCTGCGGACGTCAGCTCTCTCGACATTTGGAGAACCCGGTTTGATTACCGGTGGCTGCCTGGCGTTTACTCCGCAGGTCTAAACGCTCTCGGCTCAGCCCTTTGACCATCTGAGCCACCCGGGCCCACCTCATCAATTAGGGTTTTAATGGTTTTTTTTTAATGAGTTTGAGAGCATGAACCAATGAATGAATGGCCTCATCTCTTGTCGGTCAGTGAGAGGGAAGAGAGGGGGCCACGACAACTCTCATAAAGATGACCCATGGAATACGCACGCAACTTTACTGTAAACTTTACTGTAAAGTTGCATCTTTATTTGAGACTGGTCCTATAGGAAACCGGCCACATCGATCACAGGGCTTCTCCGTACGTGGGAGACGGAAAAACAGCGCTAAAAGGATTCACAAAAAAGCACCACCTCGATTCAAGTGTCCGCCAACCCTTTGCCCCCACCCCCTTCCCTTGCTGATGACGTCATTGCTTGTGACATCATCTCACAACTTCCCAAGGAAGGCCGAAACAAGTCCCGGGTCGTTCCTGTTCAAACAGTGCTGCTGGGTAACTTTTGATTGAAAATGTTTACGTTGAGATCATTGACGGGAGGCGGTGCATTTAGTTTGCCGTTTGGAGCATCACTGCAAGTGCTCCGTGAGGTTGTATACAATGTTATTTTTTTGTGCCCATGTTGTAGAGGGAGGGCGCTTACCAATAACGTCGTGGTAAAGCCGCGGTATTTGTTAAGTACGCCAGACTCTGCCGATGAGACCCAGAACGGTGAAACCAGCGCAGCGTTTGCACGTTGATGCGAATGCCGCTGCTGAATGTAGCTTTTATGCTGTGTACGTATGTTGAACTTCTTTCGCACCGTACTTAGCCAACCGTGCTAATCGGAGGTGCGGCGGGGGGTATGGAAGGACGACAAACGAAACACAAAAAAATTAAAGAACTGCCGACATCTGGATTGCAAGTTCAGTGCCCTAACCGTTGCAGCGTGGCAGCATCCCTCTGCAAACAAACAGCACCGTAGCTCAGCGCCACCGCTCACTGGAGGTGGCTGCGCACGTGGCCTGTAATCCAGCGATGCGGAGGTCAGGGTTGGTGGATCACATTCAAAACATATTTTGAATGTGAACGCGGCAGAGGTGACGGTGCTGCAGCTGGCGATGGTGGTCATGGGCGGTGATGGGACGAGGTTGCCAACCCGCATTCCCCCCCCCCCCCCCCCCCCTCGACACACTGCCTGCATGCGGCCTGACTGACATTTTAAGTTTCGGACCAGGCCATTGTGAATCCACAGTGCGTTTTATTCCCCCTCTTTCTCTCCGTGCACTCGCCACAACGGGGAGAAAAGAAAAAAAAAATAGAATCGCACGCGCACGTGAACGCGCTTTGAACGATCATCAATACACTCCGTGCGCGTGTGCATGCGCGTATATGCGCGCACGTGTCTCTACGCGCGCGTTCAATGGGGCCGTGCGAGTGTTATTTAATTGTTTTTCGTTTTTTAACAAGCGTGGAGCGGCTTGTGCTGAAGAGGGTTTTTAAATGCGTGAAATCAAGGAGGCTAATTGTATGTTTGCGGGTGCTTTTGTTTGCCGACGAAAACTGCTGCCACTGCCACCGCCGCCGGTTAGGGTGTGGGTGGAGAGAGAGAGAGAGAGATGGGGAGCTCCAGGCGGTGGTGGTGGGGGGGATTGTCGCTCACGATCGCAGAGCTGGGGGTGGAGGGCGCATTCGGAGCTCCGTGGAGCTCCGTGGAGGGAGGAGCTTTGTGGAGGGAGGAGCTATGTGGAGGGGGGGGAGCTCTGTGGAGGGGGGGGAGCTCTGTGGAGGGAGGAGCTCTGTGGAGGGGGGAGCTCTGTTGAGGGGGGAGCTCTGTGGAGGGGGGGAGCTCTGTGGAGGGGGGAGCTCTGTGGAGGGGGAGCTTTGTGGAGGGGAGAGCTCTGTGGAGGGGGGAGCTCTGTGGAGGGGGGAGCTCTGTGGAGGGGGAGCTCTGTGGAGGGGGGAGCTCTGTGGAGGGGGGGAGCTCTGTGGAGGGGGGAGCTCTGTGGAGGTGGAGCTCTGTGGAGGGAGGAGCTTAGTGGAGGGGAGCTCTGTGGAGGGGAGCTTCGTGTCCACGGCGAGCATGCCGACTCGGCGCCCCCTTCCTCACCGCTAGCCCGGCCGAGACTCTGCTGCTGCACTCCACAGATGCGGAGGCCCTCTTACTCCGCGTGACTCCCCCCCTCCCCTGACTGACCCTCTTTGTCTTCCCAATGTGATGCATTGCCCCCCCAGCTTTCCATCGCCACCCCCCCCCCCCCAGCTAAGTTCAGGCCAACCACAACTCCTCAACGCTCGCTGTTGTCACCACAATGACACCCACCACTTAAAAAAATCCCATCCTTCATCTCAGACCGCTATCATCTTACGTACAATTTTATCATTTGGGAAGGCGCCGTGCATGCATATCGAGAAGGTAAGAAGACTTTACCGACAGACCCAAAGAATATGAATTCCTGCAGTCACGAAAGCTTTAAGTCAAGATATATAACTATACCCGTGCACCCTGGTGTGACGGATGCTGCCGTGGCTTAACGGTCGGCGCACTAGGACTTGCAATCGAGAGTTCGCCGGTTAAAATCCGTCTCCGCGGCAATTGAAACAAGTTTCCTAATTCCCCCACGTTGCCGCCTTTGTTCACCTAGCAGTAATAAATTGGTGCACCGCAGTTAGTCCACCGTTGTAGGTGGTGGGGTAAAGTGTGGGTGGTTTCCACCTCTTCCGGGACGTCTGGTCCAGGGTAGAAGAGGAGGCCAAAATACCCCTTCGAGGGACTGCCTAGCACTCCCTCTCGTGGTTTTTTAGGCCCCTTTCGCCAGCAGTGGCGCGGGCGAGCAATTTGCAGGGCACCCTCCGTGAACCTCTTCGACAGCACACGTGACGTTATCGCTACCCGCGTGCAACGCGCGCCTGTTCGTACGGACACAACCGTCGATCGACGCCGCTAGGTGAATTGATTCGGGACGATTCGAATGACGAAGATTTTATATATTTTCTTTAAAGCGGTTTCATTGCGAGCCAACGTGAAAAGAGTTAACACTTAGAAATGGTCACGCGTGCGGCTTAAAAGAGGAAAAAATAAATGTAAACGTCAGAATGCACTTTGCTACGAAAAAAAAGTTTGCGGTATCTGTGAATGAAGAGAAGAGCGGCATCGTCATCGTCGTCAAGGGAATCTCGGAGTGCGAGCCGACAAAACCACGAGCTTCAGGTGTCGGCGTGTTACGTGAAAATTGTAAAGCAATCTGCAAAGATGCAAAGGCGATTGAATGTTTTGGCCG